TATATATATATATATATATATATATATATATATATATATATATATATATATATATATAGATATATATATATATATATATATATATATATATATATATATATATATATATATATATATATATATATGTTATTAATATATATATATATATATATATATATATATATATATATATATATATATATATATATATATATATATATAGTTGCTAGCAGGCTAGCTATTAAGAGCTAAGAAGTAAGTGTTTACATATTCTCTACAGTGTCAGTGCCTGCATGAAGTGTTGCCTTTCTCCTGGTGTACTGCCACTCAGTATAGATCGTTCCTTCTCTGTATCAGCCCCAGGCCCCTGCGCTGCTGTATCCGGGGTGTATGGGGCCTGGGGGGATGCTAGCTGCTCTCCGAGGATTTGTATCTCACACAGTATTCAGATAAGCTCGAGGGTTCTCAATATCCTTTGAGGGCCGTAGTTGCTGCAATAGAACCAATGCCAATGCAAGTTATAAAATATTCCCCAAGTAGTAGTTGATGAGATCTCTTTCAGTATTTAGGTGTACAGAGCACAACAGTATTTGAAAAGAAGTGGATACTCTCCCTCACCAGCCCCAGGCCTTTGTGCTGCTGCTGCTGCAGCTGCAGCTGACCGTGTTGCTGCTCGCACTACAAGGAAACCCAACGTGAAAGTACAACAACCCCCCCTTCGCTGCATGCAGTTACAATGCAGACGAGTATTCAACACTTTCTCGGTCTTCAGTAGCCACGCTGCATGCAAGTATAGATATGCGTACTAGTATCAGATGAAAAATTCTGTAGGTTTGCCTCCCCCCCTCCCTCCCCAGGCAACAGAAACCCTCATCTGCCATGGCGCCCAGTGAGGGCTCGCTGCTCGCTGAGGCCAAATGAGAGGGGGGATGGCAGTAGAGAGACCAGAGCTCAGATAAAAGTAAAGAAAAAGAAAGACAAACGGTTCCCGAAGATATCGCTCTTATACTGCTGCTGTAGACAACATCTCGCTGCTGCACTGAGTGGTCGTTTGCCTTGCTCATGAATTGGGTTTAGGGTTTAGGGTTTAGGGTTGTTCCGTAGAGTAGTGCGTGAGATGCATTATATTTTTTTATTATTTTTTTTATATTAAAAAAATAAAAAAAAATATAAAGCTCTCGCTTTACGCCACCGATGCAGCCCCAAAGATGAAGAGGATGAAGGTTTTGTCTCAGGCGGCGAGAAAGCCATAGGTAGAGGGATAGCACAGATCACAGAGAGGAAGAGCTTGCAGCTGAGGAGCGCAGAGATCTATAGAACTGAGTTTCTCTATAGACGAGACAGACCCAGTGCTCATAGAAACTTTTACATCTCCTAGCTGTACACTCTGTAGTTCATGTACACTCGAGTTTTCGCCGCTGAGCATACGGGGAGAATTGCCTCGCAGTAGAGATATTCATAGATTCACTTGTGCTGTCAGTAGGATATAAGTAAACACTATATAGCCGTTTTATATGAACTATGTGCGGCCCGTGCACAGCGCTACTCCGTCGCTTTCTGTTGTTTCTTTTCTGTGGGAGCCAGTATACGGCATCTCAACACTTTCAGAAAAGTATTAGGAAAGAGAAATTCATGTTTTTGTGAGTTTTCTACACTGGTGGTGAAACACGAACAAGAGTAGGTTGCTCGCACCGCCTCGCGATCCACAGAACATGCAACAACACCAAGAAAGCAGATACAGCCTCAGCTGATACCCCTATAAACACACTTATAATAAATTGTTTTAAAAGGAGTTACTGAGATGCAAGTATTTATACAGAAGAAAAACATGTATGAAGGCGAGAGGATTGAGGAGCAGTGCATCCCCTCTCTACTCATGCAAGAACAGAGTGAATTCATGTTTACATTAAAGGGAGATTGAATCCACCTAAGCTAGCGGTAATAACTTTCATTATAAATATTATTTTCCTTTTGTTAAGAAGAGAAACAAAACTACAGAGCCCCCCAGCAGCGAGATGCACAAGTGCAAGAGGTGGTGGACTTGCAAGCAGGTTGTCGTAGGTGGTTTCGTAGGGTGCGACAGGGGTAAACTGAGGTGTATTTGATGGGTTTTTCTTTTTAAATATAATAAATAATTTAAATAAATTAAATTAATTCAATTTGTTTTTATTTTTTCCCGCAAGAAACCACAGTAACCGATGCAGCATAGCACCGGGCGCCTCCGTCGAGCGGAGAGGGAAGGCGAGACCGAGTAGAAGGCAGGGGCTGTAGTATCGGCATTCTTGTGCTATATTCTGCGTTCTTAATCATTCAAATTCAATTTAAAAAGTTTATTTTAATTAAATTAAACTTAGTCATTCTAATTAATTCAGTTTATTCTCCATTTTTCACAGGGAAGACGGGGGCGGGGCGTCACCCTCTTGTGCAGAGGCTGAGCGTTTCGGTGTTATGTATACCGCCCACTAGTGCATAGCGTGGTGTTGTATGAAGATTTATATGTTTTTATTTATTTATATTTTGTTGTTTTTATTATAATTTGCATCTCAACAGAAGAAATCTCGCACTATTAGCTCGTGTTTCGTGGCAAAGAACAACAAACCGAGCGTATCTTTATACACACAACCCACCGCCTGCTGACGCATTTCTTATGATAGAAGAATTCATGTTTCTGATTTTTTCCATGTAATATAAACAGTTTTATAAAAAACTTTTTCTTTTTCTCCTTGATCCTGCCGATATACCCCTCAAACCATGGCGGCCATACGCCGCGCTTTCCCTCTTATAGGGGCCCTCATCCTGATGGTGTTACTCAGCAACCCCACCTCTCATTCCTGGGGCCCCCTGCTGGCTCAAGCACGCTCTTCTACGCGCCGCATGGTGAGTGTTCTGCTGCAGCAGCAGCAGCAGCAGCAGGACTTGTGCTGGGTGCACCGCAGCAGATCGTCGGCTGTCTAGGCACCTCCGTGTCTGAGGTGCATGCATGCATACCTAGATCGCCGCTGCACTGCGTTGCATGCGTTTTCTCTTCTCTCTTTTGTGCTGCATGCAGGGCAGGTCCAGCAGCCGCGGCAGAAACCTCAGGAGGAGCTCTTACTCATACCCCAGGAACAGGCCGCAGCAACCACCAACACAACGCAGCCCCCCTCCTCAGCAACCCCGGCAGCAGCAGCCACAGCAGCAGCAGCAGCAGCAGCAGCAGCAGCAGAAGCAACAGCCTCAGCAACAGCAGCAGCAGCATCACCAGCAGCAGCTGCAGCAGCAGCAGCAGCAGCAGCATGATCAGCGCGTTCGCACCCCAGAGGCCCCTGCAGCAGCACACACTACCCACACACCTGCAGCAGCAGGGGCCCCCCAGCAGCCTCCTGCTGGGAATGTAGGCGGGGGGCCCTATCCAGCTGCTACGCAGCCCAGAGCAGCAGCAGCAGGGGCCCCCGAGCAGCATGCAAGCCAAACCACAGCAGCAGCAGCAGCAGCAGGGGCCCCTCAGCCTCCAGCTGCTGCTCAGAAAACAACAGAAGTAGCAGCAGCAGCAGGGGCATCGCAGCAGCATCCTAGTCTGCGGTCTCCTGCTGCAGCAGGGGCCCCTCAGCAGCAGCCTGCTGCAGGCAGCAATGCTACGCAGCAGCAGACAGCAGCAAGACAAACGCAGATCATACAGACAGCAGCAACAGCAGCAGCAGCAGCAGCGATGCATCTGCTGCTCCTGTAGACAAAGAAAAAAATAAAGAAAAAAAAGAGAAAGGGGTTATATTGCCTCTTTTCTTTTTAGCTGTAACCGAAGATGAAATAAATAAAACAATAAAGACACCGCATGCATTCGGTGAGCAAGTGAAGGAAGCACTGCTGCAGGCTCTCGGTGTTGCTGCTGCACGCATCTCTCTTGAGGAAGTTTCTATTACCAGGGCCAGCAGCAGCAGCAGCAGCAGCAGCAGCAGCAGCAGCAGCAGCAGCAGCAACAAGAGCGAGGATCTATCAAATGTAATAGTAAAGCTATTGATACACCCAAATAAAGAAACAGAAAAAGAAAAAGAAACAGATAAAGAAAAAGAAAAAGAAAAAGAAAATGAAAAAGAAAAAGAAAAAGAAAAAGAAATGAGTTATATAGAGCCAACAGCAGAAGAGCTGGTGACAGAGGTGCGTAGACAGCTGACGCAGCCAGCTAGTTATTTATCTCGTTTGTTTCATTCTTTTTTTATTTATTTTCCTTTGCCTGTTGCAATAGATACTAATGCTTTTGCTGCTGCAGGAGAGAAAACAACAAGTGCTGCTGCTGCTGCTGCTGCTGCTGCTAGTGCTGCT